AATCGATATATGATGACAATGATCAAAATGGATATATGACGGAGATATATAAAATAGAAATTTAAAATTCATTGATTGTATGTATGTTTAATTTATGTACGATGGTTGAAATGGCAGGAAGGAATTAAAGCCGGTAATTTCTGCGCACACTCTCCAAAAGTAAGGCTGATGTGACAGTTCGTGAATGCAATACCTAAAATACGGCAGCTTGTGTGATTTGTGTGTCTTCGGTAATATCTTGTATAAATTATAATATTTACGTTCTTCAATAATTTGTGCCTTCACAATAACAGCACAATATAATATTGTAGTAAAGTATAGAGCTTTGTGACCTCTTTGATAGATTTTTAGGAACAAGGAATTACAAAATTCGTTGTTTTTAAGTCTATCACGCAGAGCAACGCCGAGCATGGCCCTTTACATAGCTCGCTGAGCGACTTTGAGCTTCCTCATACGGTCAGCAGAGAAGGACCACGTCTCAGATCCATAGGTCATCACTGGCAACACGCACTGGTTGAACAATCTTGTTTTGCGATTGTGAGGTACGTCTAACGATAAGATATTATGTCGTTATCTCCCGAACGCTGCCCAGCCGATTTCAATCCGTCGATTGACCTCTCAGTCGAAGTTGGACTTACTCGTACCTAGTTGGACTATTTGTCCTAGGTAAACATATTTGTCAACAACTTCGAGCTTAGTGCTCTCGACAACTACCGGCATAGGTGTGACATGGATTAAACATGATTTTTGTGTCCATGTACATTTTAAAACCTATCCGTTGGGAGACACTATTGAGGTCATTGAGCATAGTGCTTAGGTCCTCCAGCAATTCTGCCATAAGCACTATATCGTCCGCAAATCGAAGGTGAGTGATGTACCAAAACAAAAAAGACCCAAGTTGACACGAAAAGTGAAGCATCAGCTTTCTTTTCAATAACTTTAGCCTATTAAAGTTCACTGCTGATATTCTCAGCGTAAAATAAAGGCTTTATGCTGCTGTACTTCGTATGGTGAATGTAGAGACTTGAAAATACTTTTTACTGAAAATTACGCATTCCATCTTAGTCCTTAAGGTTGATTCTTAGCCGAGGGTAGATGTAGACGTCTATGGGCCACAGTATCTATTTACCATCAGGTGGACTGTGAGTTCGTTTGTCACCGTTATTCAATAATTTTAATAAACTTATTTGTACTAATTTGGCGTCAACAAAATAATAACGAAAAAATTTAAACCGCAATTTAAAAGTTTCTGCCATTCAAAGTTTTAAAACGAACCATTCATTTGATCGTTCAATGAAGTTCTCTCACCTCGCGCGATTGAAGCATAAAATCGGCAAATACTGTAACTTTTATTTATGCTGAGCCGTGCTAGCTCAGGTTCTAAGCGCCCGTCGTAAATTTCACGTGTCTTTGTAATATTTTTATTCCTCAGAAATATTTAGGATGACGTTTTTCTTTACCACTTTAAAGATAAATTATAAACTTTCATTGGTCCCAGCGGAGATAGTAACCAGGCTGCTAGCATACTATGAAATTGCATTACAGTCCTGTACCTTACAGTGAGATTTATATATGTTATTAATTTTATCAACATAATAATAAATTTGATAATAATAATGGAATAGAATAGAATACATATTTTTATTAAATATTTATTTATTTATTTTATTTGTTGCTTTTTAAACGTTACCTCCACACTAAGATTTTCTCCTGTATCGTGGAGGCAGTTTACAAACATATATTGCACAAGGACAAACATCCAGACCCGGAACAATTATTTATAGGCCATACAAATACTTGTTCCGTGCGGGATTTGAACCCGCGGCCCCCAGCGCTACAACTCATTGCTAAGCCACTATAAAATATATAAAAATAGAATATTACAAGGATACTTACTGATATTCACTTTAGTTTTACCAGTTTTTAATAGTAGCAAGATGATTGATATGCGTGTTCATACATAGGTGGTTCATAGGTGGTAGGTACAACTTTTCTGTCAAGAAGTCCATCTGCATATATGTATACCGCTCTAAAATATTTCTGCCGCCAAATATCAGTGTTAATACTGCACTATAGTGTTCCGCTCTGAAGAGAGTAGGGAGTCAGTATAATTTCAGGCTGTAAGATATTCCATCTTAGTCTTCAGAGGTGACAACGCATCAGTAGACTTATTTTTTCGTATTTTTTTTGTGACGTTTCTATAGCGCTGTGGCTTAGAAATTAATTACGGTGTTGAGGGCCGCGGGTACGAATCCCGCACGGAACATGTATTTGTATTTTTTTATAGGATAGGGTAACAAACGAGCACACAGTCCACCTGATGGTAAATGGTTGCTGTGACCCATAGACATCTACATTTATCTTCAATAAAGAATCAAAATGCAGATGCGTTGTCACCCGTGAGGACTAAGATCGAATGCCTCTTTTCCAGTAAATAGGGTCTCCGGTTCTCTACACTCACCATACGAAACACAGCAGCATAAAGCTGCTATTTTACGCTGGTATTCTGTGAGAGCGTGGTCCTTCCCCGGTCGAACCGACCCAGTCGTGCTGCAACTATACTACTAATATAGCTGCAGCATGGCTCTACCACGTGTAAAATGTATGGCCTACAAATATTTGTTACGAGTCTGGATGTTTGTCGTTGTAAAATTTATATTGTAAATAGCCTCCACGATACAGAAGAAATCTTTGTGACTGCAGTAACAACCTAACATCAGGTACGTCTGTTAATTTATTTTGAAAAAAAAATTGATTATTTATAATAATTCCCCTGGTGTTGCAGTTGTTCATGGGCGGCGGTAGTCACTTGCCGTCGGGAGATCCGCATGCTTGTTTGCCCCCACTCCTATAAAAAAAAATATTTTTTTAATATTGCAATCTAAAAACAAAATAAAAATTTATAGATAATAATCCTTAGATTATTAAGAAGTCATCGCGCGCTCTAATGCGAAGACCTATCAATTATCTAAGATACTAATCAATTATTTTTTCTATTATTGTAGTATCATTATCGTAGCTATGATTAAATTCCTTCAAAGTCAAATACGGAGTTCCACAACCGTGTCATGTGATCTTAAGCCGATTTTTCGTATACCTACTCAGCATAATATAGCTTTTGGCGGCACTCAAACATGCATACACAAAGCTCTACGTTTGTTTCTCTTAAACACAAAACTTAGGTACTTACTGACGGCTCCGTGGCGCAGTGGCTTAGCAATGAGTTCCAGCGCTTGGGGCTGCTGGTTCGAATCCCGCACGGAACAAGTATTTGTATGGCCTACAAATAATTGTTCCGGGTCTGGATGTTTGTCCTTGTGCAATTTATGTTTGTAAACTGCCTCCACGATACAGCAGAAAATCCTAGTGTGGGGGTAACGTTTTTTATTTAAAAAAAAAAAACTTAAGACCAACAACTGTTTTGACGTTATATAATATAATATGTATTGAAGCGGTGTTCAAGTTACTTCTCTTAGTTCTTGAAGATTATCCCGATATAGTCTGGCTTAAGAAAATTCTATGTCATCCTGCAGGTGTTGAAAGAAGCCAAAGGTCCAAACTAAAACAGGAGATGGGCAGCAGCATATTTCTGATAACAACTAAATAATAAAAAATTGCGATTGCCAACCAGACTGCCAAGCGTTTGAATATCGCCTCTATGAGGCAATCTATGAAAAAGGCCTATGATCAGTCAGTAGTGGACTTTAAAAGGCTGTAATAATGAGGAAAATAAATACCACGTTTTTCTCTTAGAGCATGCGGTTCACAAACGTAGCTCTCAGATAAAATATAGCTTCTTAGATATTCCTGGCATCGTTCTCTATCTGTTCATGAAATTCAATACAATGGGTTCAGAAATTCCGAAGATTAGTCCCAGCTGGTTCTTTTCTCGCCCAAAGTCTCGCGAAGTAGCCAGCATTCTTAACACTATACTGCGGGGAATTAAGCTGTAAGGAGTAGATGCACAGACCGCGGCCCGCCGGTCGAATACTGGTGGCCCGCCGACAGGAAAAAATAATACTCTCGTACATTCGAAAAATATTGAATTATATTCCAGAATAAAACCAAAAAAAATATGTTGGAAAAGTAATTTGAATCTCACGCGCGCGCTCTTAAGTGCGCTTATCGGTGCGCCGTGCATGCGTCGGCAACAGCGGTCGGTAATGTTCGCACTGATCTCGGTTAAATTCGTGTTCTTGAAGAACCGCCGCGGCCGGCGGCGCGGCGACAACGGCAGCGCGGTGGCGGCTTATCCACGGGTTATATTGTTAAAGCAAGCGAGATAGCAATAGTCCCGAATTCCCGATTGCTCGCGTAGGTATCGTGATTTCTCCAGACAGTTTACGACTCTATACGCACGGTATAAAAGCCACGCTAACCGCAGCGACCGACAGTTCGGTTTTAATTTGAGTGAAGTGTCAATAGTTCTAGTGTAGATTTTAACTCGACTAGCCAGGTGTCATATATTTTGATCCACATTCAACGTAGATTTCCCGTCAAGTGCCGTGTATAATTGTGTTGTGAAATCGTAAGTAAAACTCTGTTATTAATAAGTGTTTCCCTACCTATTTAATCAATTATTTTTGGTAATTTAAAAAGGGATGGGTAATTTAAGTAGGTACTGTAATTGTTTTTAGGTCCTGTGTTAATCCTAGCCAGGATTAGAACGCAATATGGACAAGCAAGGACCTAGTAAAAAACGTAAAGTTAAAGATGAAAATCGGCAGTTTCAAGAAATTTGGACTGAGAAATACTTTTTTGTATGGTCGCATAACAAAGTCGTTGGTGTAATTTGCAAAAATTCTGTTGCGATTGCAAAGGAATATAATGTAAAAAGGCACTATGAAACGCAGCATCCTACCTTTACCAAGTTTAGAGGCAAATTAAGAAAGCAAAAAATGTTGTCTTTAAAACGGGAGCTTATTGGTTAGCAAGCTATGTTTACAAAATCCATTTAAGATACAGAAACAGCTACAGAAGTTAGTTATGAAATTTCTCGAATGATAGCAAAGCGAAGTCGCCCCTTCATTGATGAGGATTTTGTAAAAGAATGCATAGAAATTGCCGCTAAGAAAATGTGTCCAAAAGCAGCAAAAAAGTTTGAGAAAATTCAACTCAATACGATTCATTTGAATTTTCTACTCAACTCTTTTATTATCCAAAGACGAATTATGTCTTTGTCAGGTAATATTGCGCAACAATTAAATGAAAAAACTAAGATAATTGAATTTTTTTCATTAGCCCTCGACGAATCCACTGATATTAGTTCCACAGCTCAACTTCTGATATTCATACGAGGTGTTACTCAAGATTTTGAAGTCTTAGAAGAGTTATTGGGAATGTGTTCATTGAAAGGTCAAACCAGAGGAATTGATATACTCAATGTACTTTTGGATGAGTGTTCAAAAACTGATAAGGACTTATCAAAATTATCGGGAGTTGCGACTGACGGTGCTCCTTCGATTATTGGTGTCAATTCTGAGCTAGTTACTTTGCTGAAAAAGCAAGAAAAAAAGATACACGCTTAAGGTCTCATGCAGTTTCACTGCATTATACACCAAGAAGCCCTCTGTACTAAAAAAATTGAATTTCTAAATGTCATGAAAGTGGTAGTTTCGACTATAAATTTCATAAAATCACGAGGACTCAATCACAGGCAATTCAAACAATTCCTTGATGACATCGAAAGCGAATATGGAGATTTACTGTATTATACAGAAGTAAGGTGGCTAAGTCGTGGATTGACACTGGAACGATTTCTAAATTTAATAGAAGAAATTGGAATATTTCTGGCGGAAAAGCAAAGGGATGTCCCGGAACTTAAAAATCCTGATTGGTTGTGTGATTTGGCTTTTTTAGTTGATATTACAAATCATTTGAATGTCTTGAACACACGGCTTCAAGGCAAAAATCAACTGATATCCCAGCTCTACGCTCATGTATTATCCTTGCATGCTGACACTTTTCAGATCGCAATTGAATTCTGGAAATTACAATCATTTTCCGAATTATAAGAAAATGGCTGAAAAATTCAACAAAACTGCGATTAATTTCAGTTATGAAGAAAAGCTAGATATTTTGATTCAATCTTTTCAAGACAGATTTCGGAGTTTAAAAAAGTGAAACCTCTGTTGGACATATTCAGCAATCCTTTCACGATTTCAGTTGAAAATGCGCCAGAGCCAATGCAGTTAGAAATTATCGACATTCAAAACGACCAAAATTTACGCAACAAATTCAACGAAGGAGACTTGCTGAACTTTTACCGCTGCATTGATAAAAATACGTACAAAGAGTTGCGCATAAACGCTCTGAAATGTGCCAGCTTATTTGGTTCTACCTATATATGTGAACAAACCTTTTCAATACTAAAGAATAATAAAACAAAAAATCGAAACCGCCTTGCAAATGAAAGTTTGGAAGCAGTTTTACGTGTTGCTACAAGTAAATTTGAGCCAAATATAAAAAAGATTGTAAGCACTATGCAGTGCCACGCTTCAAATTAAAAAATTCTTTTTCAATTTTAATACATTATTATCAATTCTTTAATGTCATTAATTACCTATACTTCTGGCGGCCCGCCATCAGTTCATAATTTGCCCGAGTGGCCCCTAGTCTTAATAAGTCTGTGCATCACTGCTGTAAGGTAATTAAATTTTTATAAGATAACAAATGTTGTATTATTTAATATTTTGTTAAAAGAAAAAATAAAATAAATTGGTAAATCCAATTGTGCATGCCTTAAGCGTATTAAAAAAGTTGCGTATAACATGTTTATACGTAATTTTTTAAAGTAGTTTAATTACACACAAGTTTTCACTAAAAACCTTATAATTATTACTATACTCCAAATTTTCCGATAATTTTATTTTAATTTAAAAAATAGCTTAAAAATCCAAAAATGCACGACTTATAATGCTCATATTATGAACGTGAAAAAATTAAAAAAAAACGTAAATTGGATTTCTGTTAGTCAAAGAGTTTCACCGAAGTACACTTTCAAGTCACTCTATTAAGTCCGTAAGTAAGAACTCATCATTATAACAAAACGAGCCCAAACTCGGCACATCTAGTTCTCCTCGTCAATGAGTTCCAGTAGCAGTCACCGAAGTACACTTTCAAGTCACTCTATCAAGACCGCAGGTGAGGTCTCATCATAACTAACAAAACAAGGCCAAACTCGGCACATCTAGTTCTCCTCGTCGAGAAGTTCCAGTGGCAGTCTTCAAAGTACACTTTCAAGTCACGCTATTAAGCCCGGAGATAAGTTCTCATCATAACTAATAAAACGAGGCCAAACTCGGCACATCTAGTTCCCTTCGTAGAGGAGTTGCAGTGGCAGTCTTCAAAGTACACTTTCAAGTCACGCTATCAAGCCCGGAGGTAAGGTCTCATCATAGTATAGTAGCAGATAGCGACACACCTTCAGGTCTGTTAAGTCCAAGACGTATACGTATATTTATTTATATATAAATCCTGCGTGCTTTTAGCCAAACAAAATATTGTAATCAAAATCTGTGATTATAAAAATAATAATAATATCTTACCTTGGTCAAGTATGTATCAGATTTGGTTTTCGGAATCTTTTGTATTTAGCGATCGATATTTTTCAGCACTAGCCGCTGTAACAAACAACCACTCACGACGGCACTTGAGGCCGGAGTAAAGTACTCTGTGCGGCTTCGGCCTATTTAATAAAACATAAATTAATATACAAAGCTATAAAACCAACGAAAATTTCACCATTTTAGAGCCGAAAAAAATTAACTATAACTAAACAAAAGAAAATGAAACTGCCGTTTACATTCAATGGATTCCTACATGATAGATGAAGAGATTAAAAAATAGATAGAGTTAAAAAATTGATATTTTCAAAAGTTATCGTGTTTACGACGCCAGCGAACTTCATAAATCCACACCATAAGCTTCTAAAACCCCTTTTTTATGTAAAAATAGCAATTAATCGATTTAAAAAAAATATTAATAAGTTCAACAATCATTTATCTTTCTAACAATTTTTTATCATTTATATGTATGACATGATTGGCAGATACGATTTCATGCGACAAAACGTTGGAATCTTAATTTTTAGGCACTAGTAGAACATACCTACGCGCTTTGAGCTTAAGGCATGCAATATCAGTAGGTAAGGTTGATTTATAATTAGGGATCAATTCATTGTTTCAATGCTCATCTTTAATCTTTACGTATACGATAATATCATACATAATAGTAAACATAGTATGTGATATTATTTATAGTCAATGGGCTGACATTATGATGTATACTTGGTAAGCTATGACTTACCAAGTATAAAAATCAGGCGCTCATTTCGCTACAAAGAGTGAATTGATAGTAAGTTTTTACTTTTACTCATAACGAGGCATTTCATCTAATTGCTTTGGGTTAAAACGCATTTGCGTTTTGATTCTTAGTCAAGACATGGTAAGGCGATGCTGGTGCTCTTCTTACTTCTACAATAACTGTACAGTTTTCAAGAAATCGTTACTTTTAGTAGTTTATATTGGTTGGTATAAATTTGATTTCAATCATTTTGTAATCCAGACATGTAGGAAACATCCACAAACTTTGAAGCAGTTATGATCCTTAGTAAGCAAAAATATAAAGATCGCAATAAACCTTCCATAAGACTTTCCTTTGATGAAGAACTCAGAGCAATAAAAAAGTCTGAAGAACTTTAATATTTTATATTTATATTTATATTTATATTGAAATATTTATTTAAATTCATTGAACTTTCAAGTTAGTTTAAAATATTTTAGAACCTTCAATATCATTATATTAATAACTACGTAAGCAATTAAAATTAAACTATTTATCGAACTTTTTAGTATTCATTATAAAAAGGAAAGGTAAGATACTTATACCCAACTACTGCTAGGTAGTTTGCCGTGTTTTAGCGGTGTAAGAATATCCACTACCCCATTTTGTCCCGCCGCTGTTGTAAGAGGCAACAGAGGGAAACTAAAACACGAGATGGGCGGCAGCATCTTGCTTATAACGACTAAAATAATAAACTGAGTTTGCCAAACCGCCTGTCAAGGTTGGAAACTATAGTAAAATCACCCCTATGAGGCAATCTGTGGGGGATTTTTATAGGCTGTAATGGATTGATGAAACTTATATCATTCGGAAGGTACTGTATCATACTGCGCCATGTGTTCTTTACACGGTAGAGCCATTTTACAGCTATACTAGTGGTATAGTTGTAGCACGAATGGGAAGTAGAATGATGCTCGACCGGGGAAGTACCACGCTCTCACAACGCTGGTTTAGTATGTTAAGTGTAGAGAACCGGAGATAAAATTTCTACGGCTTTTTCAATGTTAAAACAACGCTAAGATTTTTTTTTATATATTCTTAGCGTTGTTTTCACATTGATCGAGTTTCGATTACATGCGATACTAGTTTAAATAATTTTGTGAGGGCCAGACCGGCATTTCTTACTAAGAAATCTCATTGTCTCCACAGAGATAGAGAATAACAATATAAAAAAATAATGACTGATGATCGTATGAAAAAGTTCAAGGTCGCTCAGCGAGCTATGAGGAGGGCTACGGAGCTTCTCTGCGTCATAGACTTAGAAATGGGGATATCTGTAGTAGAACCACAAAACCGACGTAGCGCTACGGATTAGTAAGCCAAATTGGCATTGGGCCGGCCATATAGCTTAAAGAACGGTACTCGGGTGGCAGCCTCGTACCGGTAAACGAAATCTAGAGCGGGCCCCCACTGGATGAAATGACAAACTGGCAAGAGATGCAGGAAGGACCGTACTTTGTGACATTTTTTGTGGGAGGCCTATATTCAGTATTGACCTTGTACTGGGCTGTAATGATGATGATGGTGTAGAAAAGCAATAAGGCGATAGTATAGACTAAATGGGTGCTCACAAATCCCTTTTAACACTGTAACGTCAATTCATCGGCATAACTGTTTTAAAACGCTCAATCAAGTCACCGGCCCTTATGCCTTCAAATAAATTTGCTAACAATTTTACTAAGGAGTTCAACCGTTACGAGATAGCGGTTTCAAGGAGTTTCAATATAATGGATGTTCGTAAACTTTTGCTCAAATTAACGGGGCGTCGGATAACACAATCAATCTAAACTCACGCAGCGTATAAATTGAACTACAGTAGTTAAGGTTAAGTTATCGCTTCCTCATTATTGGCAGGCTCCTAATTTTGACGAGTGCGGTAATTTATAATGGTAATTTATATTGTTAGGTTAAACTTCTCAATTGTTACTTGACTACTGTTTTACGAATGATGTAATTATAGTCTATTGAAAGAAAGCGTTATCATAAAAAGCGTATTTTTAATAGAATAAAGGTGACCAATGAGCACACAGTTCACCTTATATTTGCATTGGTTCATAGATATCTGCATCTGAAATGTAATAATAAATGAAGATTATCACCATATAATGATAAAAATGGACATATAACGGAGATATGTAAAACAGAATTTTAAAATTCATTGATTGTATGTATGTTTAATTTATGT